ATATTCACCATTTGAGCTTCCAGATTCAATAACTCAGACATGAAATGATACAAAACCTCTTTCTGACTGCGGTAAAGTCAGTACAGCATGAAAAATGAAGCAGCCACGGCTATAAAAGTATTTATTCAAATATATTTTTGCATAAGTTTTTATTGCCCGACTGTACGGCCCAACCCCACAGCTGCACACACAGTCTGGTGTCAAGCTTCCCAGCTGGATAATTGTGATGTCGATTGTTACAGCTTGGACATCATAGTCAGACTTCCAGGTTTGAGGCTGGAACAAGGCTGATTGCTCCCTCTTGGTTAAGGAGTTGTTGTCCCAAGCAAGGAGCTGAAGCATCTTGAGTTCTTGTTAATGAGTGATGGGAAGCTCCAAGACCGACGGACGTTCGCAGTCAGTATATTTGTGGCAACGAGAGAACTGAGCTGAGCTCACACGACCGCCAGCTGTGGGTCGCGGCCAAAAGAGTATAATCTGAGCTAAGAGTGGAAGAAAGGAGCTTCCTCTGAAGGGCGTGAAGGTGACTCTGATGAAGGAGATGGCGAGAGGAGATCCGGGCATCTCTGCTGAGACTGCTGCAAGCAGCAAAAAAATGATGCATGGATGGAGCACTTCGACGCCGTCCTCTGTCGCCACAATCTTTTATTACAACAATTCGTTTAGCAAAAAAGGGCTTTTATCACCTGCTCTCACCAAACCTTTGAAGCGTCAACACTGACAGGCGTGGATATATAGAGTGAGTCGGTCAGCCCGGGACACAGCACTTTGGGGCAAAGCCACATAATGTTGGTATCAATAGATAACACGTCATTTAGATGTGGCACTATGTCGCAGGGAGCTCTTTGCTCTTCCCACAGATTTCCTTTCGTTCGTATTTCCTCCGAGCAATGTCAGCGAGGTCTGTCGCAGGTGTGCAGATGTGCACACATCACTCAGTGACTCCTCTCTGTGATTGCCGTCCGTTATATCTGAGAGCCCTCGTGGTTTTTTGCTGCATTGCTTTGTTTCTAGTTATTGTTTCATAATGACGGGGTTTCACTTTTTGTGTGTGCAGGTATGAAATTGAACTTGATTTGAACTAAAACCAGCAGCAGTTTGTCTTCATTCATTCATTTCTAGAGTAAGATGGTTGTAACTACGTGCAAAGGTAAAAGCAGTGCTGTAAAGTTAGTGATTGGGGTAAACCAAGCGTCTAACACAAGAAACGCTTCGTATTGTCCTCACCGCAAGTTATTTATGTAAATCCAAGTCTTTACTACAGAGGTGTTGAACAACAAATCAGACGGCCCGTAAATCAGGCCAATCTCAGCCATCACGGATAATGAGCGCAAGTCATCCGTCCCATCAGCAAGCCAGAAAGGCAGGCAGTCGACCAGTAAGCCATCCAGTTGGCCGGTCAGTCCGTTGTGACAACAGCACAGTGTGAGATTATCTGGAGCATGTGATGTATGTGTTTACACCTCGCTCCCTCCGTCTGCCTCTCCTCTGTGTGATTGTCTCTCCACCTGAGTGCCTCTCCATCAGCGTCTCTCCTCCAGTCTGACTCACTCTTT